GACTCAATTGCTACCCGGAAATTTTCAAATGATGATGATAAGCTGTAAAGTAGCATAATGCTAAGTAAGTCTGAATTGATAATGATGTCCATTTCTTGAAGTTTGTCAACAATCTCCATAAATTTGTTGACATGATCCCTAGCATCTTCTCCATCTTTCATTTTATGAACTATTAACTGCTTTAATAATGTGGCTTTCCTTGCAGGACCAGAACTTTGGTAATTGTTCTGCAGGCAATCCCATACTTCTTTAGAAGTTTTGCAATTTTTTACTAATTTCAATTCACTAGGGGAAATTATCAATATTAGTTCTGATTTTGCTTTAAGATCTTTAACTATCCAGGCATTCTTAGCAACTTCATCCTCAGGACATTTGTTCTCCCCAGATACATACCTATTCCATTAGGTTTTGTTGGATTAATATAGCTTCAGCTTGAATTTTCCAAGTGTCATAATTATTTCGTTTCAAAGGTTCAATTCTATAGCCAAAACTCATTTTACTTATTTTTAAGCACAGAATACTGTAAAATGATTATTTTATTATTCCAAATGGCCCATAACTTTTGTTGGTGAAATTAAAGTTAATGAAAGAAAGTTTGTTGTAAACTCTTTTATTTTCTTACAAACACAACACAACACGGGTGGGACACACGGGAGGGACTAAGGCTAACATATCTTGTAGTGTCAGCGTTCGCCGCTAGAACCGCTGAGTTGAATAAATTTAATTTTTTTTTTATTTTTAGTTATAAAATTAACTTTTTAATTATAAAATATTGTTTTAAAATTATAAAATATATTTTTAATTTTTAAAATAAAAGTGTCATAACATAACCTAACCAACCAGACTTGCTGATAATATATAACTGTATAAGATAAAAATCTAATTAATGATTACTTATAATCTATATATTAATTTGAAACTGTTTTTCTTTGTGACAGCTAATTTGAGAGAACGGCTGGGCGTAGAAACTCGGTAGAGGTGTCTAAAGAAAGGTCTTGGTCTGTAGATGAGCCATCAAAAGAGAAACTAGGTAAATTCCCTTCGGGATCTGCCCCAGAGGCCTTTAAAGTCCCATCCCATGTTATTCTTATGGAGGAAAAACGGGTTTTTGTCAAAGCTAATTTCAGAGATCGGCTGGGCGTAGAAACTTGGTAGGGGTCTCTAAAGAAAGGTATTGGTCTGTAGATAAGCCACAAAAAGATAAACATGGTAAATTCCCTTGGAGCTCTGCCCCAGAGGCCTTTAAAGTCCCCTTAGCAGATTTGTTTACATTATGACCATATGTATAATTTTACACTACTTTTAATGAACCAGCTGTTTATTTACAAATTGTATTTCAAAGGTCAAGTGTTATGGGCATTTACTGAAACTGTCAAAATTAAATGTTTACATTATTATTTATGATTTAAAATTGATTCTTCACTGCATGGCAAGCTTTTTATAGTTTGAACAAAATGATGAATTTATGATATGTTTTAAATTTTTTGTTAAAAATCTATGCTTTAAAATGCCCTTACAAAAATTTTATATTATAAAATTAGTTGGACTTATCAATTTCAACAGAGCAGATAAATATTCCTTATCGGGTTGGCTTATATTTATTTTAGGGGTTTTCACTTGCCTATTTTGGCCTACTTTCAATAATCATTTGTAGATGAGTACGTTGAGGATGTGAGCTGTGTTCCAAGTTTAGAAATAGACTAAGCACGGAGTAGGTTTAATCTATGGTTTGGTGCAGTATTAATGGCAGTTCAGGTATTAAAAATACCCCCGCCGCAGCAAACCTGCCGACTACGCGAATTTCCATTTGTCTGAATTGATTTTCAGTTAAATATATTTTAATAACATTAGGTTTAATGAGTACCTAGGTTTGCTGCTACAAGGAAACTAATAAAGTGTGTTTTTGAGTAAAATATTGATAGCTTAGTACAAAATAAATAAATTTGCCAAGTTTGATAAAAAATATATCCATAAACAAGCAAACTACAACATTTGACAATATTGTCCATAAGAATAACATGGGAATTTTAAATTTACAACTTTTTTAATTTTCTCCGTTACTAATAACCGAACAAAAATACTTTTATATACTAAATTATTTGTTTTTTTAAGCTCTTAAAAAAGGTCTAAAGAGAAATTGGGAAATTTTGTGTTTTGAGGGTCAAAAGTGAGAAAAACCAATTTTTACCCCATAAAACCCCCCGTAAAGCCCCCGTTCCCATGGTCCGATCATGCTGGTTCGCGAACTCATTCAAGTTTATCCCGCTTTACACCTTTTAACCAAATTTCATCAAAATCGGACAAAAATTACTCAAGTTATCGCGTTCACGGACGTATATATATATAAATCTATATATATATATATATATATACATATATAAAATTTGAACGAATGGTGTTTTTGGCCTCTGGGGACATCAAAATGAAAAAGTAAATCGGTCCCGGGTCTAGGTCTTACCGTGCCACCTACGGTAATAGCTACTTCCCTAAAGGGAAATTCGCTAAAAGGGGGAAGGGTTTTTACTTTGATGTACATCTAGCTAGATCGAACAATGCATCTAAACCTCACTACATACAAAACATTCGGAAATACAACAGTACAAAAAATTTAAACAGAAAAGAAAATAATTTATGATTCTACCTTTGAGTATTTCAAGCAAAATTTCCAAATTTCAAAAATTGAGGTGATTGGATTGTTTATTGGTTCTAGAGGAACATTATCAAAATTTTTGTGAACTTTTGGAAACAATATGATTTGGACAGATCCTTTTTGAAAATTATTATTCATAAAACATTAAGTTGACCATAATGAGAAATCATCTATATGGCAAACATCAAAATTAATCAGTCTTATAGCTGTATAATCCTTCGATATTTTATGTGTACTATTTTTCTGTGTCATTGGCAACCTTATTTTTTTAAGGCAGAGGTATTTATTTTTATAAATAAATTCTTTTCTCTCTCTCACATCTCATCTAATTTGCATAATTTGTTGCCAACCAAGCCAGACTAGGTTATGGATGTGGTTCAGCAAATGTTCAAGATTTGGTACATTATGGTACATGTACATCCCATACACAAAATACATGCACAACATTATGTGATTGATACGGCCAAGGCAAAACTACCAGAAGTTGATCAATTAGTAAATAAGTACAGGATGATTAAATACATTGGTTGACGTGGCAAGAGAAGGAATCAAAATTGCTTGGATCGAAGTAAGAATATTTCTGCCATCTGGAGAATCAGATATTTTTATCAAATACAAAAAAACTGATTTAATATGCTGATGAAATTCTGTATTTCTATGACCAAAGATGGTGATTCACTTATGCAATCGAAATACGGTCTGAATGATTTTCCTAAAGCAGATGTAACCAGTTATTAGTAATATAGATTCTTCCCGTAGGATGACAGCTCACTTATATGAATTTCTTTTCCCATATAGTGAAAGTGGCTTTAACATGAAAAAAACTTATGAACACGAAACAAATTATAAGACTCCTAAAAAACCTTTTGGGCAACCTAAAGCCAACCACGTTGAAGGTAGTTACACAATCTCATACCGGTATTCATTATTATCCTCCCTTAGTTTAACTACGATTTTCACTCTATCATCGCAGTTAGCTGAAGTTACATAAAAGAGTAACCGTCGATTTCGACGGGTTTCCCCTAGTTTTTAATTAATTATAAAATTAATTTTAAAATTTAGTATTATAAAATTTAACTGTCATAACCTAACCTAACCAACCAAACTTGCTGATATGAAAATTTTGTTGACAAAAAATGTTGTGCTACCAGCGGGATTCGAACCCAGGACCTCCTGGACACCAAATCGAAACGCTACTATTTATGCCACGAACGCCGCTGAAAACACATCGTTTCGTTACGGTAATCGTGTTGCCTCAAGAGTAGACGACATTAGCCACTAGAGATATGACGTCACTACACCTTTAGCCTTGGTCCCTCCCGTGTGCCCATTCCAACACAACACTGAATTATATTTAGTAAACAACTGCATATGTAAAATATAAAAACATATGATGGTCCATCACTAATCCAGACTAGATGAGTTGGGTTGCAATATTCAACAGAAAGTAATATGGCTTTGCCACTCAGTTGATTTTGTGTTGCTATGAATGAATGCATAGCAGCCGTGGATCAGGGTCTATTGATGGACTCGAAATCCCAACGCTCAGCACGCGATCCACTGATCCAGTTGGATTATATAGAGATCTATGGTGACTGGGAAGCTGCCCCCCCCCCCCCCCCGATCTCTGACGTCAATATGACTTAGGAACCTTTTGGTGGGGGGGGGGGGGGAGGGTAGTCTGAATTTTGTAATACTAACCATTGTAATACTTAATACTTTAATACTGTTTATTGAAGTGGCGACCATACAAAGTAGGTATTTTAACCTAAGTATGAATGAAGATGAGTGTAGGATGAGTGGCGCGATCTTGTAGTCTTATTTTATTTTATTTATACATGCCAACGGCTAAGCCAATACAATACATAGTCTTGTTAGTGACTAAGGCCGACATATTCCTTAGACACAGCTGTTAATTAATAGCCCATACAGCTAATGGCAACTAAGGGACTTACAGTTTATAGTGGACTCCGAACCACATTTTTGCCTAGGTATTAATGAATTGGTCTCATTATCAGAATAGTACTGCCTGGTAGGTCTAAGGCTTGATAAGGACAATCATTAACGAAATGATATTCCGTTTGATTTTAGCTATACAGTCAAGAGTCTGATTGATCTTCTTAAACCATTTTTCCCACATGTTCTCAGATTTCCAAGAGTTTTTTCCTGTGCCCTTCGGCTCATGACTGGTTTAAACAAATATAGTTAGAGCCTTTTACATATTTAATCCATAGTGTCAAAAAATAGTCATAATTTTGAGGTAAGGCATTTTGTTACTGGAACTAGGTTGATACAGTTTAAATGTGCATTTATGGAACAAAATAACAAATGAACTTTATTTCTGTTTCAGCATTTGATGTCATAAGAAGATTACGGATAATGATTCAATAATTTTTAAACCTGGAATGTAGCATTTCTATTGAAAACTGTTCATGGAGGGAAGCAATAATCAGGAGGAATTAGAACTCGAGGTAAAAAACTGCCCAAAAGCTATTCCTAAAAAAAGAGCAAATAGTCAAACTGAAAAATCAACTAAAAAGATCAAATTTGAACAGAATAAAAGTGATTCCACAACTATGGAAGCAGGTGATGACTCCGTGACTCCCCCTGAAAATCTGATTTTGGAAAAAATCCTTTTAAAGAAACAAAAGGTATGGCAGAATTTTGTATTAGTAGGCCTAGTAGTAATAGAATCGGTTTTGGCCAAAGTTAAACATGAGGATGACATAGGGTTGCAATATGGTAATTTATAAAAAACAGGAGATTTCAGCTGGCGGCCCCCACTACAGTAAATAAAAGTTTACAGACTAGCAAAATTGTATACCTAGACTTCATAGCACAAATATTATAACAGAAATGGTATGGGTCATACACATACAAAAATTATGTCACTGGCCCGAAATTAAACACGTTTGTATTAATATTTAAATGGAACTGTCAAAAACCATCCAAACCAGTTGTTACAGCTACAGTAGGCCTACAGTAGGTTACAGTAGGCCTATTGGCATTGAGGCCAGTGACGTAATTTGTTCATGTTTATTAATCCATACCGTTTCTGTTAAATATTCGCGCTACACTGTCAATATTCAAATATGGTACACAAAAGTATAAAATTTGTATATTTCTTGTCACATCCCATTTAAAATAACGAATAACATAAACAAAACGCTCTCTGCCTGTTAGACATGGTTCAGTTTTGGTAGTACACATGGATAACTTTGGACTTCGGATGGGCCGGCAGACGCGATTTGAAGGACTGGGAGCAATGAAACATACGATAAACTAAGTACGTTGCTGGCCAAAGGGAAACTAAGGAATAAAATAACGTTCGTAGAGAGTACAGAGATGCATTTTTCAGTCATTTCATAACAATATTTGTGAACACAAACATTAATTTTATTTCAAGTGCTGTTATACAATGTATTTTAATAGAGAGTAAAAAAATTGGAGATTTCTCACTTTTTGCAGAAATCCTCCGGAACTAAATTTTGAAGGTCAAAATCTTGTAATCTCTGGGGAAATCCAGGGATATGGCACTCCTAGGTTGACATCCCCTGTGTATAGAGTACATAACATTGTGTAGTTCATAAGCACGGATTCGGAGAAGAAGTTAGGGGAGGATCATTCCAGGGGGCCCAGTCAGAGGGGGGTTTGGGCTTTTTTAAGGTATAAAAAATTTTTTAAGGTACACTTAATAATACCACTCAGAATGTAGCTAAATCCAAGCAATCTAAACCTATACTTTTAGGACCCTATTTGAAAACTAGGAAAAAACTGCATGCTTATATTCCTTACAAAAATCAACATAATTATCTGAAGGAGTACGCAAGGTGATTCAAGTGACATTCTTTTGGCAAGTCATCAACAATCTTGCCTATATAAAAGCCATAATTTGAGGGTAAACTGTGATGAATTAACAGATGCACATTGAGCAGAGGGTCACCGCCTGTAATAGGAACATTCTATATTGTTTATTTTTACAACAACCAGACAGTTTTTCCATTGATAAGTTTAACTGTGAATGGACAAGAGAAACTTCTGTCATTTGGGTCATCATAGTAGTAATTGATGATGGTTGATTCAGTGCCCCGTAAATGTTGGGAAAACTTTGTTCTGAAAGTTCTTGTTCCGTAACTAGAAGGATATTTTGATTTTGGTCTGATTTTGATAAAATTTGGTATGCAGGTCAAATTTGGTGATTTCACTACTAGGCTAATCCCCGGTATCTTCAGCAATTTTTTAAACATTTTTTTGAAATTTTAATTTGTATACAAAATCTAGTTTGGTCACTCATATATTTCCCAGAAATATTCCTACATGACAGCAGTTTTTTCCATGACCTCTGCTCCAGGGAAGGCTATATATAGCCAATCCTCATATTGGTGGCGCCCATGAAAAGGTCTAAAATGATTATTTGCATTGATAAAATTTCCACTTTACCTTATCGTAACTACTAACTATCCTGTTAGAAATTTCAGTACTTTGGTATTATCCGGCGAGGCCACCCTTATACAGCGGTTATGTTAGGTAGTGTTGTTATAAATATGTTTGTAGGATTTCCCTAGTTCCATTATGGATCAAACAATACCATATGAGTCATACTTTTGCTCCCCAAATTCCCTCCGTATGCCAATGTGAGGTCGTTGACCGGAGCGCGTGCATCACCTGTCACCACCTGTATCTGATCGGCGGCGACGCATTCAACTCAATCCTCGCCGACATCGCTGCCTTCTGGGATACAGAACTCAAAGGCCGCTAATTGTAATCATGTCAAATATGGACAGTAAGTCAATTAAAGTATGTTCTTTCCATTTATGATGACCCAACGTAACATAACCGCCACAGCACTCTGTATAAAGGTGGCCTCCGGATAATACCCAAGTACCGAAATTTCAGTGTACAAAGTGCTAATTTACTAAGTTTAAAACTATGAAGATATTAGACTAGCATCGTATTATGACCAATTTTAGAAACTACTGTATAAAATAAAAATTAAGTCACGGTTTTAATGACTTTTAACTTTTTTCCATCCATACTTATGTACTAGGAAGGGGTTAGTTATTATAATATAGATCAATGGTATTGATTGAACTAGACATTTCATCCCCAGGTAGATAATAGAATTTTAGACACTAGCACAATCTGTAACTAACTGGCTCACAGAACTATGTTCTTTTGATAAAAAATTGTTGACAGCTGGTCTATAGAAATGGGATGTCTCAAGGCCACATTAAAAAAACAGGCCGTAATGCTTGTCAAGCATGACGTCATGATAGAAGACGCCAATGACGTAATGTTTGATATTTTTGTGACAGAGGGTATTTATTTATTTTCCGAGGAAAGATTAAAACAAGCAGCTGATCACAAACGGCAAACATTACGTCATTGCCGTCTTCTATCGTGACGTCATGCTTGAGTGTGGCCTTGGATGTCTACTTCAGTATCTAATATAATAGTCAATACAGTAGTTTGACACAATTTTTATGTTTCAGGAATTCTTTGGCTCACCAGAAGTGATGGAAACAATCAAGTTCCTGATTAATCGGAAAAGAAAAGAGTGTTGTTTAGACCAGTGAGGAAATGCAGGATTGACTACATTTTACTTTCACTCAACAATCACCCAGTTTCAGCAAAACATCCAATAAGCAGAGACAAGTTGTGCTGCATAAAAACACCATAATGATTTTTTACTTTTTAATTTATTAAAATGATATAACAAAGATAAATTTTGATAAGTTATTAGTCCTAAGAATATTGTGTGAGTGACTTATTGGGTAATTGTTATCAATTTTAATTTTATATTGAGGTTTTAAAGTCTCTTATTGGGCATCAAAAAATTTATGTTATAGGGGTTTTCTGCAAAATTTTCCATCTTCAGCATAGAGGCATAATTTACTGTTTAAGTGAGTTAGAGCTGAAGGCAGGCCTTTTCTATAACAGAGGAATAAAAAAGAACCAAGAGTAGAACCCTGAGGTAATCCATATTTATTTGACCTGTTTTAGATATGATTTGATTTTATGTAATTTATGTAATTTTGTAATTGTAGTCAGTTCAACCAAAGACTATTACTTAATGTTCAACATATTGTTGCCTGTTTTCGAAATATGACTAACCTAATTAGTGAATTATTAGTAATGCAGAAATGTAATATTGAAATAAGTGTCAGATCCAAAACACTATCAAATGACGAGATCCATGAAAATTCCAATAACAAATCAAAAACAGCCTCAACTAGATCAATAACAAAAATCATTACAGGTTTTCCGGACTTAAAGCCAATGCTGTTCATTGTCAAATACCGTTAATTGATTATTTTTCCAAAAAGTTCCCAATCGGGAGTGCTTTGCATGCTCAGAAATTTGGATATTGTTGGCAATATCGATGAAGGCCAGTAACTTGATGGCTCGGTTTCCTTCCCTTTCTAGATTTATATTTATTATTATTGATTTCAAACCAAATGGTTTTAGTTTGAGCACAAGAAATAAGCTTTGCAACACTACTGTAGTCTTTAAACAAACATTTTGAGTTTAGGGGTACAATTCATAGACTTCAAACTTTTTAGCGAATTTCCCTATAGGGAAGTAGCTATTACCGTAGGTGGCATGGTAAGACCTAAACCCGGGACCGATATACTTTTTCATTTTGGTGTCCCTAAAGGCCAAAAACACTATTCGTTCAAATTTTTATATATGTACCGGGTGTCCCACGAAGGGGTTTAAACGTTTGATTTTATATAACGTGCCCATTCATGCACCAAACTTTTTTAAACTTTACACAGTTTACAAAGTAGGTTCTAAAAATATTCTGGAAAAATTTCAACTCCCTAACCTTGGTAGAAACAAAATGGCAGCATATTGAAAAATTTACCAATTTGCCTCCTATAAAAACTACTTTCATGATTTATTGTCTGATTTGTTTACTACGTTGCGGTTCTAAGGCTCATTGTTGAAGAACAGCTGTTTGATTGTAAAATGAGTTTTAAATGAACAGATCTCGCCCCATTTGACGGTAATAGAAATGAATCAAGCAATCTTTCAACAAGATGGTGCACCACCTCTTTTCACAAATCCTGTCAAGCAATTACTAAATGGCAACCTTCATGGACGTTGGATGGGTCGTGGAAATGATTTTTTAGATTGGCCACACCGATCACCTGATTTAACTGGTTATGACATATTTTTATGGGGTTTCTTGAAGGAACAATTTTATACCCATAGGAACTAAAACGATCAATAGAAGAGGAACTTCTCCGGATACCGCAGGGTTTCTTTGTAAGAGCTTACGAATAATTTGTTACGCGCTGTTATCAGTGTGTTGCTGTGGATGGGTTACAGTTTGAATAATTTTGGACATTAAGGTTTTCCATTAGGCTATGTTCTAGTTTTTTTATTGCCCTAATTGTCATATTGCCCTAAAAAGTAACAATAAAAATATTTTATAAAACCAAAAATACCTTCTTTAATGTTTTTAAACCATCGTTTTTCAATATGCCACCATTTTGTTTCTACTAAGGTTAGGGCGTTGAAATTTTTCCAGAATATTTTTATTTCCTACTTCTTAAACTGTGTAAAGTTTAAAAAAAATCTATGCATGAATGGGCACGTAATATAAAATCAAACGTTTAAACCCCTTCGTGGGACACCCTATATATATATATATAATATATATAGACTTATATATCTAATATATAAAATTCTCGTGTCACAGTGTTTGTCTGCAAACTCCTCCGGAACGACTTCACCGATCGTTATGAAATTTGGTGTGTAAATTCTGTAGGTATGCGAATCGGACGTAAACTATTTCCCGTTTCCAAATTCTTAAAAGGGCTCCGCCCCAGTGGCTCTGGAGTTTCCCATGTTAACCTTATGAGAAATAGAATTAATGAATCTTAACAGCTGTTTCAATTAAACAAGTTGGTTCTGTTCTATGATGTTCAATAGCATTAAAGTTACAAGGATTACCAACAGGGTGCAGCACTATTATTTCTTTTACATTTATGACAACAGCTAATTTGCAACCAAAAGGTGAGTGAGCGTAGCGAACGAACTTCAACCTGGAGGCGAGTTAGCGTAGCGAACGAGCTAACCTGAAGGCAAGTGAGCGCAGCGAACGAGCTCCAACCTAAAGGTGAGTGAGCGTAGCGAACGAGCTCCAACCCAAAGGTGAGTGAGCGTAGCGAACGAACTTCAACCAGGACGTGATTGAGCCTTGCGAACGAGATCATCTTGAAAATTAAACGTAACGGTACTTTCTTTCCATCGGTCTGTCTTAGGGGAAACCTATAACTTAGGCGATACGAAGTTCGCCGGGTCAGCTAGTATATATATATATATACGTCCATGAACGCGATAACTTGAGTAATTTTTGTCAGATTTTGATGAAATTTGGTTTAAAGGTGAAAAGCGAGATAAACTTGAATGAGTTCGCGAACCAGCACGTTCGGACCATGGGAACGGGGCTTTACGGGGGGTTTTATGGGGTAAAAATTGGTTTTTCTCACTTTTGACCCTCAAAACACAAAATTTCCCGATTTCTCTTTAGACCTTTTTAAAGAGCTTAAAAAAACAAATAATTTAGTATATAAAAGTATTTTTGTTTGATTATTAGTAACGGAGAAAATTTAAAAAAATTGTAAATTTAAAATTCCCATGTTATTCTTACGGAGAATATTGTCAAATGTTATAGTTTGCTTGTTTATATTTTGATTAAACTTGGCAAATTTATTTATTTTGTACTAAGCTCAATATTTTACTCAAAAACACACTTTATTAGTTTCCTTGTAGCAGAAAACCTAGGTACTCGTTAAACCTAATGTTATTAAAATATATTTAACTGAAAATCAATTCAGAAAAATGGAAATTCGCTTAGTCGGCAGGTTTGCTGCGGCGGGGGTATTTTTAAATAGCAGTTGGCTGCCTCTTTTAACCTTGCATTGGCCCGTCCACATAGACTGCCTGTGCGTGGATCGTATCCAGCATAGCAAGGGTTGAGCCAGTACAAAACAAAGTTGAACTGTACTGATAAAATGTTTGCAGTAGTGACCAGGATCTGAACCCACGACATGGCTTCCTTAAATCCTAAGTCATTGACAAATACAGACTGAGCCACAGACTTAGCTAAACTCTGGTGATGTTTTACAGTGTGAAATGCATAATTTCTTAGCAGCATGAACAAGATAATTAACTTTAGAGTTATAAAAACTATAAATTTCAGAGGACATGCAACTGTTTGAGTTGTGTTTTGTTGATTTTCTTTAGAACAAGTTAACCCTTCTTTCAACTTGTCGGAAAAGTGAAAATACACTTTTTCTTTTCTAGACCTAGGGACGTTCAAGAGAAGTATTTCAATAAAATCGTGTAGCTTAAAATTAATCAGAAAGCAAACGAGGAGCAAGCTAGTCTCTGGTCTGAGTGGTGAGGGCTTAGGGAGGTTCAAGATGGACAAAACAAGAAGTAAGAGAAGTATTTCAATAAAATCATATAGCTTAAAGTTAATCAGAAAGCAAACGAGAAGCAAGCTAGTCTCTGGTCTGAGTGGTGAGGGCTTAGGGATGTTCAAGATGGACAACACAAGAAGTAAGAGAAGTAATTCAAAGTAATCGTGTACTGTAAAAGTAATCAGAAAGCAAACGAGGAGCAAGCTAGTCTCTGGTCTGAGTGGTGAGGGCTTAGGGATGTTCAAGATGGACAACACAAGAAGTAAGAGAAGTATTTCAATAAAATCATATAGCTTAAAGTTAATCAGAAAGCAAACGAGGAGCAAGCTAGTCTCTGGTCTGAGTGGTGAGGGCTTAGGGAGGTTCAAGATGGACAAAACAAGAAGTAAGAGAAGTATTTCAATAAAATCGTGTAGCTTAAAATTAATCAGAAAGCAAACGAGGAGCAAGCTAGTCTCTGGTCTGAGTGGTGAGGGCTTAGGGAGGTTCAAGATGGACAAAACAAGAAGTAAGAGAAGTATTTCAAAGTAATCGTGAACCGTAAAAGTAATCAGAAAGCAGACGAGGTCTGAGCAAGCTAGTCTCTGTTCTGGGTGTGAGCTATGAGCCGAGAGAGATGGACATGCTGGATTAATGTTGCCAGCGATTAACTGTCTCCAGCGTTAAACACAAAATTTGATCCAAAGAGGAAACAAAACTTCTAAAACTCATATAAGATATTATTATTTTAGTTTCATCCTCATTCTCATTCTGGGAGTTTAATAGTTAAAGCCAATTAATAACAATACTATATGTGCAGAAATAGTTTTTAATTTTCCTGAAAAAGTAAAAATCCCGGATATTATAATGATTTCCATTGGACATTTATTTCCCTAAAAAGAGGACGTGTCCAGAGAAATGAGGACGTCTAGGATCCCTAATTTAGGCCTTATCATGGGGACTGAGGTAATGGTTAAACCCCTTTAGGGAAATATGTTAAACAAGATCCAAAAATATAAATTAACAAAAATGGAAATTTATTATACCTACAAAATACACATTAATGAGACATTCATTTGCTGGGGACAAACTGGATGAGTTTCTTTATTCTTCTGACAAGAGCCTCGACATAACCTCGGTCTCCTGTACTCAATTCCTGGAACAACAAGATAAATTACCAGTTAGTAAAAACACAAAATAAAATAATACACTTATTCATCCACATAATTACTTGAACTATCACAATCCAGGTAATATTGTCCATCCAACTCGCTTTGGTCAATTAAGTCATCTACTCATCTGTAATTTAG